TCTTACTAGCCAGCATAGTGCAAGCTTCAGTGGGAGTCTGGAATTCAGCATATTTCCATATGCATAAGAAACCTTCAGTTGCTGAACCTTTTGTTGGCACAAGCTTGCTGTTCTCAGTACTGAATTAGAATGTTAAAGCTACCGTGGGTAGCCTTAAGAACAATCTGCAACATCTTTTGTTTGCTGTAGAGGTGAAGTTCTAGGCAGATCGTTACTGGTTTTGATGTAAATAATAGATACCAAGAACACCAAAATGTTTTGGAAAAGCCATATGGTCTATCAGGGTGTTTCCAGGAATCCCTGAATTATTTGCAGTTTTAGCCGCCTGTAAAACTGGGAGTCCCTAGAGCCTGGCTCAGGTCTTCTGGTCATCCAGGGAACAAAATGCATGACTGTTGCTGTCTTAGACCCAGAGCTTCAGATTAAGATCTGTCACCTCCTGAATGATGATTCGGGAGTAGCCTGCTTGGTGTATTGACTCAGGGGTAAGGGGTCCTATATCCTGTGGCCCCCCAACAAATTTCCACCTGACAGTTTGATGCTGAAGGATACTGCTGCAGAACACACTGCAGTCCGGCCGGCTGCAGAGGTGTCCTCATTCCTCCTTGTCGCTTGCAGTCCCTGACAGACCCAGAGGAACCAGCAATTCATAGGCCTCTGTCTTCAGGTTGGAGATAACCCCCCAGAAACCTTTTGCTCCCCAGTGGTTCCCAGTGCAGAGCTTTGCTATGCCAGCCTTTCCTCCTGCCCACATGGCCGGCCATCCTGCTCATAGTGTACTCAGATGGACACCTCAGAGCCTATTTTGGATGGTGCACAGGCAATGCCAGAGGAAAGAGAAATGGCAGAGAAGATGAAAAAGTCTGCCTAATGCACAGAGCTATCATGTCCCAATGTAAGTCAAAAAACCCCTATGTTTTAATATACGCAGTCTGTTAGAACATAGGATTTCTGTAGCTATGATTGCCCTCTTTTTCTTTCTTTTTCCATTCTTTCCTGTATCAGGTGACACCTTATGTGACATTTTCTACACTGTCCACACATCTGAACACCCAGATCTCACACTACTACAATGTGAAATAAGCTATTGCTGGCAAGTGATGATTCTTACTGAGCTGTGAAGGATGCAGACCATATCCACTTAGTTCTCTGCAAACCTTCAGTTGGATTTCAGTAAGCTGACACCTATCTCCAAAGGCTCATATTTCCTTTTTTCTTTTTTTTTTTTTTTTTAATTTTCTGACACAGTAATTTGAGGCAAGTCAGGACATCTCAATTTTTAAGAGCCAGGAACCTGTGACATGCAGTCCCCGATGGGGGGAATACTATTTAAATAATGCCATGTATTCTCCTATGCCAACTAAAAGAGAGAATAAATATAATTAGAAAAATGTGATTAAAATATTTCTCTGAATCTCCAGTGTGCATCTTTTTTAGCCATCTGTTCTCTCTCCTCTAGGCCCCAGTCCCACATGTGCTAAACAGTAAATACAGAACCTACCTGCAAACCTGAAGATAAGGGTATCTTATACCTCCTAGTATAGGGGGATCTTCTACATCCTAGTTTCTCTGCTCTTAAGCTGTATTTTCTATAGAGAAGGTGCCTTATTGACTATGAAGTGCACCTTTACCAGCTTACCACTTTCAGCATTTTTTGTTCTTTCAGTATTCCCAACAGTTAGAGAAATACTGTTATCCTTCTTTGGGCACAGGGGAGAAACTGAGAAACAGAGTTAAATGATTTGCTTCGGGCCATACAGGGATTCTGTGACAAACTAGGATGTGATACTGTTAAATAATACTGTAGAGGAATACACTTTCCTCTGAAGCTTAACTCCCAGTTTAAACTGACATATTGTACAAACAGGCACCATGTTACAATACCGATGCTCATTAAATGATAGATTGAAAGTCCGCCTTAAAGTACGAGAGCAGCACATTCTCCTTGAGCCTTTCTTGTTAATAAATTGTGAATCATGTATAACCCATCAATAACCTGTTGTGAAAAACAAAACTTTTCTTTGTTACATCAGGCAATGCCATTACAAAAATGGTATATGGTGCTTCTTTTTTTATTTTGCAGATAAACAAGAGTACTTTAATTACCATGATCTGACATGCCATCTCCAGAACAGAAGTATTGAAAGTTATAATAAATTTGCAATACAGGGATGGTTTATTTTAGGCATTAAATGAAATGGCACTAACACAGACTATGAAAAATACTGCCCTGTTCTTAATAGAATCTTTCTTGAAGGAACAATTGTAAAAATGGATTTCAGATTTTACTGCTTAAGTCAAAATATTAAATGTTGTAGTAACTTATAGTTTGGAAAATATGAAGCTTGCGCCACAAACAAGAAATAACATTTGTTATTCAAGGTGCCTTGGGTGAGTTTTAATTTCTTAGATTTCATAATGCAGAATTAATTCTTGCTAAACCTTAAATAAGCAGGAGGTTAGCAGAGTCAAGGAGCCCTAAAAGTCAAGTCTTTTCACAAAGACCCCTTTTCATTTTCTGAATGATTTGGGAAAAACAGCCATTGCGATCAGTATGAAAAGCAAACAGGAGGACTGAGTGGCAAAGAAGTAGGTGGAAAAGTATTTGAGGGGTGTGGATGTTTTAAGAAAGGAGATTAGAGAGATGGCACCAAAAGCCAAGGAGGGTATAAAAGAAAGGCCGTATTTAGGCAAGAAGAAATCAGAGCAGTAGAAAAATTACCATTTTTGATACCTCAATCGTGCAGCACAGAGCAGCTGCTGTGCCTAACAGAACAAACAATTCTTGCACCTGCAGAAAGAAAAGAAATAATAGCAACATAGCATCTTTCTGATGAAAAGAAGTAGATGTGGATGTCCTTGACAATACAAATTGAGATCCCTGTTAAGGTCACAGCCCAGCAACTGTGGGAACAAAACAGATCCAATGACACCAAACACCTTGCCTGAGTTACTGCTACATACTTAACGAAAATTTTTTTGTGGGCTGCAGCAGAGCTGTGGGAGCTGGAGAGAGCTTCCCCCCATGCTGCGGTGCTCAGTCCCCGGGCAGCTGTCACCCTGGCCGCAGCCCAGGCTGCTCACCTGCTGCAGGGGGAGGCACGCAGGCACCAGGGTATTCTTGGGCCACATGGTGAGGACCAAAAATCTGGGATGTGTGGATCCTGCCAAGATGTCGAGAGGCAGCCACTGATCTCTGCAGAAGAGTACTTGTATTCAAACTGCAGGCATCTTTCTTCTTAAGTTTATGCATCTAATACATTCAGTGATTAAATAAAGCAAAGAGGGAATTATGCCACATGAATGGCCATCTGACAGCTTTCCAGGTACGATATAAATAGTCCTGGGTGGTTATCAGGGAAATAACTGAACAGAGTAACTTTATCAGCATACACAGGACTTTGCTACCTACAGAGAGCTTGCAGAGCACATACTTAAGGTACACAATCATGAACACAAGGTGAAACATCAAAAATAGGACTTCAAGGAAGAAGTACAACATTTCCCAGGACAGGCATCTGGATATTGTTGACAATGAAATTTTGAATGAAGCTGCAGCAGAAATATCAAATAAAGCCTAGGTTTTACAGACAGAGAAATATACCATATATCACAATATATTTTTATAGGACAGGTTTCAATAGCTCTCAAGAACCAGGTCACAACCTTAATGTTGGCTGACTGAAGCTATTGCATTACTATCATTGCAGATCACTTTTGCATTAGTGATGTGCTAATACCACCAAACAGATTTTAATACATTATGATGTTGGAATTAACTAGTGTTTTCTGATAAGGAGCAAGTCACCTTCTATTATCAGGCATCAAATCATTTTAGTATTTTACTGATATGTTCTCCTCTGGTACAATCTGCCAAAGAGAATAGTTTGCCTGCCTGTAGAGTGGAAAGAAAATGTGGCTGAATAAGATGCAGATAAAAATGGATACAGAAATGAGCCCTGAAGGACTGTAGATTTCCCAAGGCCTTGCTAAAAATTCAGAAACTGTAATATTTGGCTTTAAGTACTCAAGCCCAATTTTTGTCTCAGAAAATGGTAGATATATTTGGACAGCTTAAACAATAGCAAAGATATTTAAAGAAGACCAAATTTTGTTTGTTTGTGATGCACTCTGCATTGTTCAGTGGAAGAATAGTTATGGTAGATAGTGAAAGATTTCTTTGCAGTATCGTGGATTTGGAACACAGATATCAAGTATGGACCAAATCTTTCATTTTAAAAACTTGGCTATGACCATAAGGCTGTGTCTGTATCAGGGACTGAAGGATTTCTGGGGTTTGCGGGGTTATGAATTTGGCTTGCATATATATATATGTGTATATATATATATGAAGGCTTACGGTACACACTCAAGCACAATACTGGTGCACTTGAAGTGGTTTCCTTTTGAAACAAAGGTTGTTGCCATGCAATAGGCATCTAGGGAGCACCATTTTAATATGGATGCAAGGTTTTCCACTACATAGCTCTCTACATTTTTATGGCACGTGCAATGTTAGATTGTTGGCAATCTGTTTATTGAGATGATCGTTGAATGAGATGCTATTACAGGTCTGTTCTTTACCTACCTATCAGTTATCAAATTATAGTCACAGGTGGACCCCTCCACTATTATCTCTCTGTTTTTAATTACTTGGTGCTATGTCCTACTAATGGTGGATAATATTTAGCAAAAAAAGACAGGGAAGTGTGCATTTACTGGTTGCAATTGACAGAAACTGTAGGTAAATTCCTTGCTGTGTAAGAAAGAAGTTGAGGCTCAAGATCTAGAAAATTATCTCATCTAGAAAATGCCTACAGCCTACCTATTTGCAAGTGAGGATGACAACATGTGCTTCATACTGATTCTTGTATTATAAAGACAGGAAAGTTGTGTCTTGCCCTCCTTCTCTTGGCACATTTTCTTGACTGAAATTCCTTTCTACTGCAATGATGTAAAGACAGGTCCCCCTACATAACAAAACCTTCTGAAAGCTAGTACTGAAGTGGTTCAAGTCAGCTACCCACATTCTCTTGTTCCAGCCTCTGAAAGGGAATTGCAGCTTGTTTATCCCAAGTGCATCTCCGACAGGGTCCCTTCTGAGTCATAGTCACAGTAGCAAGACTGAAAGAGAGATGAGCAGCATGGCTGGAGCCACGGCTTCCAGAGAAGGTTGTCCCATGACAGCTGGTCAGGGACAGCATGCAGGGATCTGGTGTGATTGTCTACTGCTAGCTGTATGATCCTGAGGATTTCGTAGAAACGGTTCTCTGTTTCTGGGGTCAGTGGGACTTTCTCTTCAGGATCTCTGGAAAGATCAAAGAGCAGTGGGGGATCATGCCGTGTGATAAATCCTCCATGGCAGAAGCAAACATGAGAATCATAGCAACCATTGGAGTCTTTAGGACTGAAGTTTGGAGTGAAGAAGAAGACCTTCCAGACAGATTCACCTGCAATTTACAGACACAAAACATCTGGTGATAAAGTGACAAACTTAAAGTCCCCTAGTCTTATGAAACACTAATTTACACCACAGGAAATCAGTCTTTTGGTGCAACTTCGCTCTGTACAGGAACTCAATATACTGAAAGAGTAAAACAAATTTGACGTTAACAGTGCTAAGATTTGCATAAATATTTACTAAGCCATTGCACCATCTTCTTGAAGACTTATTGAAATGTACCTTTGCCCCTTGACCGTATCCAGACACTGCTGGACCGTGTCTGCGTCTCATTTTGTTAATCAAAATAATTTCTTTTTTACTTTTTTCTCTCTTTCTCTCTTTGTTGTGTTAGCCCATTGCCCCCTGCCGCATGCTTTCACTGCAAACATTCAGAGACTGAGTTTCTCATTTTATTAAATGTGATTACGTGAAAAGGTATAATGGATGCTAAATTTCTGTGTTAGGCCTCTAGATGTTTTTTCCAAAAATAAACAACTATTACAGTAGTGCAACTTTTAGGTGACATTCTGCTTTGGAAAATGTGAACCAAAGGTCTTCATTTATACATTGGCCATTTTCTCTCAGCTTAATTTGCTGTGCACAGACCTGAACTGCCTGCAATAGTGTAACTTCAGTGAGCATTTTCACTGTTTAACAAACCTAATTATTTCCTGGATTAAGAATAAGCAGAAATCAGTTGGTTCCTTCAAGAAGCACTCTTGAACAGAAGGTACACTGGGGAATCTGTAAATACTTAACAAGAACAGAGTAAACAAAAAATGGCTACTATTTTCCTCAAGTATCACAGAACAGACAGGGAAGACAGTAACAGACAGGCACTTCCATGGAAGCACATCATCATCCCGCAGCCAGGGAAGCATACAGTTCTCCAGAAATGGACCAGTGAATAATTAATTAGTGTCAAATTCTGTACTTTATTCATAATAAAAGTAGGATACTAAACAGTTGAGGTCTAAGAAGGTCTAACTACCCACCTGAGTGTATACAGATATCAGAAATACATATTCATTAGCAATTTACATTCCTCAGCACCCTATTGTGAAAAACATTTTTTGCATCACCTCATTTTTTAAATACTGGGGGAAAAACTCTTATTAATCTCCTAACAGATTGTCACAGATTCATGTTTCCTGCAGTGGTTAATATTCATTAATCAATTCAACAGAATGGAAAGCGCTAGAAAATGTGGGAAGGGCAGAGACAAACTGGTACATGCCATGATGTAACTACATCACACTCCGTTTTTAAAGATAAAAACAGGTTTAAAGAAATAAATGTTTCAGCAGACTGAAGAGTCACAGGCTGTAGTTCTAGTCTATAGCATGAATTTAAAGGATAGTAGGTGACCTTAAGATTCTTTCTAGCTTCTTCTATCCCACAGCATTTTTCACATTGTAAGAGGTTTTACCTTTAGGAACCAATTCAATGACAGAGCCTGGAGACTTCCAGTTCACTTAGTCTGCACATAAATCAGGGTCAGAGGGGTGATGGTTATTATACACATTAGACTGGGAGAACCCTCTGGATACTGCTTGGAAGTCAGCAAAGGGGAGGGAGTTTTAAAGGCTGAGAGTGACTTGCTGGCATAGACAATAGGACATGGGAGGCTTTAAAAGGTTCTGGCTGTGAAAGCAGCAATTGCACAGTTTTATTGGTGAAAGGCAAGGGAAGGGAAAGGAAGGGAAGGGAAGGGAAGGGAAGGGA